CGACTCTCCCAGTCCAAGACCCAACTGTGTGCGAGAGCCTCAGGGGCCGCCCCAAAGCCCCATGAAAGGTCACTTCCTGGGTGGGCGGGGCAGGAGGCTGGCAGCGAGGGGGTGGAGGTGGTGGGGCCTCGGAGGGCTTCCTGGAGGCAGTGCCCTGGGTGGACAGGACCCTGAGGCCCAGGCTGGGGGTGGCCCCCTGCCCCCCACTGTCCTGCCGTGTGCCCTCAGGCTGCGGGTTGTCCTGGCCCCTCCCCGGCCCCGTCTCCTCAGGTCACATCAGGGCAATGAGACAGCAGGGTGGGGGCCCAGGGCCAGGAGGAGGGCCCCTGGCTGGGGTGGGGTCAGGCTCGTGCTGCCTGGTCCTCTGGGTCCTCTACTAGGACCTGCCTCGTACCGAGAGACCTGGCTCTCACCGCAGTGGCCGCCGTGGGGGCTGGAGGGGGCAGACTCGCTGTCCTTACGAAGGCCTTGAACACAGACATCGGGAGACAGGCCACCCACAGACCCAGACTCCGTTCTTCCCAGGTGTCCTGCCGGGTGCGTGGCCCCCCCACCGTCACCTCAAGATTAAAATGACTGTTTTGTTTTGTTTTGCTTTTTGTTGTTGTTAATCCTCAACCCAAGGATACCTTTTCCGTTGATTTTTAGCGAGAGAGTGGTAGGGAGGGGGAGGGGCAGGGGGAGAGGAACATGGATGAGAGAGACACATCGATTGGGTGCCTCCCGCATGTGCCCCGACCAGGGCTGGACCGAACCTGCAACCCCGAGACGCGCCCGTGCCCTTGACCGGGAACCAAACCCGAGACGCTTCAGTCAGCAGCCGATGCTCTAACCATGGAGAAAGCCGCCAGGCTCAAGGCAACCTCTGATTTCCCCTGCAGTGCAGCCCTGCTCCGGTCGGCTTCGGGCCGATGGAAACCCCTAACTTCCTGTGGCCCCGGAGCAGGGGCCTGGGTGCCCTGCCCGTGCCTGCGGCCAGCCGTGCCCCTGCGGTGGCACAAGCCAGGCCCTGAGTGGCTGAACCTACTGTAACCCCCGGGGGTTCTGGGGTCGCCGCGGGGAGGGGCCGCGGGACGGCCAGAGCCCAGCTCCCTGATGCCTGAGCGGGTTAGACTCAGCGCGAAGCGGCTTCTTTTAGTTTCTACGTCTTTTTCCATTAAAATGTGTATTTCCCTGATCGCTGGGCGGGTCGCTGATCCTGTTGTTTTACTCACTTTAAGAGTTAGCGTTGGGGCCCAGCTGGTGTGGCTCAGGGGTTGAGCGGTGACCGATGAACCAGAGGTCAGGGTTCGATTCCCGGTCAGGGCACAGGCCCGGGTTGCAGGCTCCAACCCCAGTGTGGGGCCTGCAGGAGGCAGCCGATCCACGAGTCTCTCTCATCAGGGATGTGTCTATCTCCCTCTCCCTTCCTCTCTGACATCAATAAAGATATATTTTTTAAAACGTTAGCCTCAGGGGTGTTTTCAAAGCACTAAATACACTACTTGTAGGAAACGCTCTGATGCACTTGGTAGAAATGGACTCCGTTCGGCGGCGACCTGCCCGCCTCTTTCCAGGGGGACGTGCGCCCCCTCGTGGTGGAGGCGGGCAACAGCGTCTTGGGCCTCTAACCACCGTCTTGGCCTAGTGACTGCCGGCAGGAGGGTCCCCAACACTTCTTCCTGCTCAGAGTCAAGCAAAGACTATGCACAAGATCAACTGCAGACCAACCTGGAGCGTGTTGGAGGCACAGCTGGTCCCCAGGAGCCCCCTCCCCCGCCCGGGAAGAGGGATGCAGGAGGGGCTGGTCCCCTTAGGGCAAGGGCTTTGGAGCTTGAGATGTTTACATTTTCGATGGTGGGAGAGGAGCAGAGAGGGAGGGAGGTGGAGTAGGGCTGGCCCCTGGCTCTGCTGTGAGTGACCAGCAGGCCTGCTGTCCAGAGGGACCGTCCTGGGTGGGGCACGTAGCTCCCTGGCTGAAGGCCCGGCCAGGTCTCCTGCCAGCCGACGGACGGGTCCTGCCTCCCTCGGCACCTCAGGCATCCGTCCACCAGACGGGGGAAGGGGCGCAAGGAGGCTCCGCTGCTGGGGGTCGGCAGCCTCGGGGTGGGGTGTGTGGCTTCAGGGGCTGGATTCCGGGTGCCAGGTGGGCCTGCTCACCCTCCAGATGGGCACCGCCTCCTCACCTGGGGAGGGAGAGAGGGAGGAGGGCGTGAGCGACCGGGCTGTGCATGCTCAGGCACACGCAGACACGCGTGTGCCTGTGTCCTGGGTCTCAGGGAAGTCCAGCCCCATACTGCCCCCCAGGGTGTCCTGGGGACAAAGCGGTGGGGTCCTCTGGGGCCCTGTACTCTCTCCACTTCCCGCCCAGCCCACCGGCCAGGGCCGGGCCTTGTACCTACGAGAGCTGAACGTGCAACGGGCGCCCACGGTTTCTGCGCCAGAACTGCAGGCCTCCCAGCGCCAGGATGCAGAGCAGCATGGGGACCAGGATGAGGGCAACGTGCAGCCGCCCCGGGGGCGGGTCCTGGGCCGAGCGCAGGTCCTGGGCCGGGAGGGGGTCCTGGGCCAGGAGGGGGTCCTGAGTCCCTATGGCAGCAGGAATCAGGGGGGTAGCCACGGCCACCTGGAGCACCCCCAGGGGAACAGCACCCCGGCCAGAAGCCCAGGGACAGACAGTGTGCAGGGAACGGGGTGTCCAGGCGCCCGTGGGGGGCTGGGGCTCCCCTCTGCAGCTCCGGAGGACACTTACCCCAGGGGGGCGTGGAGGGCAGCTCTGAAGGCTCTGCAGGGAGACAGGGGTGGTCAGGGGGCCCCCGGGGGCCGGCCTGAGGCAGCCCCACCTCCCCACCTGGCCCAGGGC